CGGGAACTTCCTTCGGCACTTTTACCCTGGCCAGGGTGGTTTTTCCGAAGCTGACCGGAGTAATGCCGAGAGACCACGCTATCCTTCTCGATTGGGCCCTTCACCTTTTGCACTTTTTTTAAGTATCGGCTCGGTTTCGGAAGTGCATTGGGAGACTTCAAGAAACCAATCAGACTCTGAGAATTTGGCGAGGCGAGAACGCCACACACCTCATCTAACCTTCTTAGTCCGACCGAGGATGACCAGGCTTTCTTTCCCCAGTGGCCTGAGCCTTGGAGTATGCTGGTGGTTGTTGTGTTGTTAACTAATGGTGATGACGATATTGCTGTTGTGTGTTGAGCAGTGTCTCTAGTAGCAATAGTGCTGAGCAATTTGGGATTCACTCAAATTTCGACTTTTGATACCTATCTCCTTGGTTGCGATGCAGGATCAATCCTCGCAGAGTTCATCGCCACGAATAGAAAACTTGACGGAAGACTCGACTGGTGTGTGCACTGGGATTAGATTTAGCCAGGGTCTGCTGGTTTCTTCCTGTTTCGGGGAGGAGTGGCTTTAGACTCTTCCCCAACTGAGCCTAGTTGGGAAGCTAAGTTAACATACACCAAAAGCAACCAACACTAAAAATCCCCCAAACCCGCTGTTTAGTCTAGTTACCATCCTCCTGGTCACGCTTGGGGAAAGTAAAAATCCTACTGCCTAAGGTTGGATTGAGGGGAGCGCTGCTCACTAGGGTGCTTGCTTAGTGTCAAACTTGGCACACCCGGAGAGATCCTTCCTTCCTGCCCCTCCAGATACTCTACCTAGTACATGTACGAAGTATCATTTCCGATGCCATGACTGACCGGAGTTCTATGGCGGAGATGCACAGTACTTAGTATGTTGGACATCAGGTCATGCCTTCGACTAAGGGCTGATGAGCTTATGTCTCTGGTCTTTCTGTATCTATTTATCTATCTATCTATCTATCTATCTATCTACTGCTGCTAGTAATCCATGCATCCGACGGAAGGGAAAAGGAACAACGAGTATTCCGCGGGCGTAGCTGACAATGGATTTCAATCGAATGATATTATTTCCTTTCCTTTCGAGTATAGTCCCGCCAGCAGAAAAAGAAAAAAGCTGTAACGGATCCAAGGGACTCGAGTCCCATCGGCCCATGGTCGCGTCGATCCGCCATATGGATGATTGCAATCTTTACCAACCCGATACGCACTTCAGGGCCAATTGCTCAGCACATATCGGACGACGATTGAGAACCGGGAGAAAGGCCGCGTCATGGATCTCTTCACGGAAATGCTTTTGTAGAACTAAGACCTTTTGGGCTCGTACAATTCCTAATTTCCTCCGGCGTAGCCCATCATCACACAGCAAAAACAAGGTTCAAACAAGCGGCACGCGAGGAGAGCGATCCCCCTCCGCCTCTTCCTCCACCGCACCGCGCGGGCGGGGAGGGGCACATAAACATTTGCTGCCTGAGGCGCGATCAGATAATGAACCACTTTGCAGGGATAATGTATTGCACGGAGATTAACCTTGATATCTGATACTGTCCTGTACGTATTTACTACTTGAGCACACAAAACACATGTACATGAGTAGTTCAAGCTATCTCTTCCAGTTTCTTGATCCAGACTAAATTATCCTCTCTTTAGAAGATAATCGCAGATAAAATTGCCACCGACCAACCAACAGAAACTGACCGACCGTCTTCTAGGCTAACGACAACAGCAACACCGACAATTACAAGCCACAATGCGGGCTTACAGTGTACAGTAGCCGACATACCTCGGACGGAGCCCAAGTTGACTTAACCTTGATGACAATGCCTGATGATCAACTTACTAAGTAACCTTCCAGAATGGGTATCCTAGACGGGGAAAGGCCGTTATCAAACTACTTTTGGGGTCAGTCGTTCGTAACCTGGATAGATGTGTTTTGATGTGTTTGAAATCCCGTAGTATAATCATGGTGGTTGGGCAAAGTTGAGTGAAATAACAAGCTGAATTATTATCTCCTTTGGGAGTGGAACTATGGAGTGGTAGTTTGATTGACTGGATTATTGCTGTAATGTCTTCCCTACTCGAGTAAGTCTGGTAGTCTAGTGGCTTGTTGAGGGCGAGCGGACGAACGGGGAAATGCAAAAAAAAAAACCGAGGGTCGTGTCTGCCAGGTGCCCAGTGGCCAAGTGTCAATGGAGGAGGAATCTCCACTCTCTCTTCGCGAACACAACCAGCCCCTCCATTCCCATGGCTCCGGGTTCTCTTGTCTTTTCGCCTTGCCCTTTTCTTTTTTCTGTGTGTGTCTGCCCCTCTGCCCCTCTGCCCCTCTGTCCCCCTCCCCCCTCCGTTTTTCCCCTGTCAATCATGACCATCATGATTAATCACCCAGGGACGCAAAGGAGGGGCAGTGAGGGAGGGAGGAGGAGGAGGAGGAGGAGGAGGAGGGGTGGAATCGAGGGGAAAGGGGAATCGGTCTCGTGCTCGTTTTCTGGGCACATTGTATTCGTATGTGGAATAGTTATGAAGTGCTTATGAATGTATGTATGTACGTATGCATGTCTCAGCCATTGGAAGTGTCCTTCATCAGATCACTCAATCAAACTCAACATGACTGCTGTAACCTGTTGTTAATCGGCCAATGAGGGGTTTCTGTGATCATGACGTAGAGGACTGAGAATATCTGTACTCATCACCTACCTACTTATCCATCCATGCACTCTCAACCGATCTGGACTCGCCAACCTGGATTCGATGAATGGACGGGTGATTCGGAAGCAGCGGGCGTTGATTGGAGACAGTTCTTTGCACACACGCTTCGGATTCCTCTTCCCCTCTGCCTCAGGCAGATAGCATTCTTCCACTGTCGGGATGGTGTGGTGAAGTACGATAACAGGGGCATTGATCACTTTGCACACATTGTTGACTGGATGTTATTTACCCATCCAACCATAACGCCAGGAATCTCTACTCCAAGTATATAAAACCTAGAACAAGCCAAACCACCTAGAAACCAAGAGATTCACTGTACTGTATATCTCAAGCTAAGTTACCTCAACCCTCATCCAATCCTATACTACGCCCAAAACACCCACAAACCAAGACTCCCTCACAAACATGCGTCTTGGCCCCCAAATCCTTCCCCATCAACTAAAGGTAGAAGGGCTGGTCCGGTACCTGCAGGTAAATTCGAAACCAGCCCAGATGAGTGGTGTGATGCCCACTGTTTACCCCCCTTCCAATAACTCCAGTCGGAGACTTCTGCCTATTAAGACGACGCTACTGCTGCTGCTGCTGCTGCAGTCAGGACTGCAACCGGGATCAATTAGGTTTCTAGGCCCCAATGACAATGACGATGGGCAAAGGGGGGCCAGCCAGCCAGCCAGCCAGCAGGGTCAGCGCTGAATGTTTATTTGATTCTCTTCCCCTTGTCTTGTCGCAGGTCAGCGCAGCCCGCCCGCCTTACCTGCCCACCGCATGCCCGCCCGCTGATCCCGAACAAGCCCATTCATTCGATCGGGTGCTGTTTCGTTGGACACTGTCCAGGGTTTGAATGGTGGAGTCGTGCGTAGGGAAGGAGAACCGATCGCATTGCGGAGTGGGGAGTGGTTTACCGAGGATATTACTGGAGGTTGAGGTTGCGCGATGGTTGCTTGGAGTGTACTATGTACAGTACAGTCTGTAGAGTACTTACTCGGGCTGCATTTTATGCTTTATACTGTACCTTTTCTGGATGTACTTCCATACTCCGTGGTGATAGATTATTTACAAGGGGGTGGTGATTAGATGATCAATTGAATCCGAGGGATAACGAAAGTACCTGAGAAGGACGTAGTGGAGTAGTTGTGTTCTGCTACACGGGTCCTATACATAGTAGTTATTATATGTTTACAGATACGAGTAGAGATCAGGACCCGATCTACATCCCGAACAGCGCTCGGGTCCATATCGAATCAATCCCACATGACTCAAAGAGCAGTCAATTCCAACTCAGAACTCACTGAACATATCAAAGAACATTATGCGTTAAGAAACCCCCTCACCTAAAGTAGGCGTGCATGTGCTATGACTATATATCTACTCAGTTAAAGTGACCCCATCGATCCAGCCAAGCTCACAAACCAAACATAGACTCCGAGACACACGGGATGTCAAACATCCCGTTGTAACACAAACACCTGCAGCTGTCTCACCAGCCAACCTATCAGCCTACCAACCTCCCCTTCCAGAATACCCCCCCAACGACGACGGAGGCAGCTGAGATCCCCCGAAGGTTACACCCGTGATGCACAACGCTCTTCCACAGAGATTGCAGGTCCTGTCCGTCGTGACTATTGTCGAATGCATTGTATAGCTCACTTTTCGCGATTTCACTCTTGTTCAAGTCGAGTCTGCCAGGCATGGCTGGCTATCTTGGGGTGCTGGGTGGGAAGACGATCTTACATGTTGATATGCTGGGGGTTTTGATACCTGGAACTGGAAAAGGAAAACCCTTAAGGTGGAGCGATATTTGCTTCATGTAGCTACATACAGGTGTGCATGTAGACAATCGCGTTCCAGGGTGTGCAGGATGGGCGGGTTTTACAGTGATTGCCTGGAGATAAAGTGGCATAACCAGGCCAGTATGGGGGAGAGCGCATCAGGAAATGAGCTCTGGGGAATCGACTGACTATGTCCGAGGAGTGAACGCATAACTTGGAACCGAACTTCAATCTAAAAGGAACCGGCCCGTGGCTGCTAGGCTGTAGATACTATCGTCTCGTAATTATCAGGTCCGACCGGACAGTCATGCTGTATAGTCATTGCAGGTTCGAAGCTGGAATTTCATATGAACTCGTGCACTTGCGGTATATCGCCTGAGAGTTCAGATTCAGTCAAACTCCCCCAAAAGTGGTTCGCAGATCGAAATCAACAATGATGTCCCAACAAGTCGATACAAACACAGAAATGGTATCAAGCTGGGTATGGTACACCAGGATCCACAGAAATTATGTTTTACAATCGCTACTTCGCAGAAGACTTACTCGACGGATGCGCCGGTTCTGCCTCGTGGCCAACGACTTCGTCATCCTCCCCCAGTCCGTCGATGATCGTTTGGTCCTGGACGGCGTGGATCGCATGCTCCACGTTGACGACGGGACCCTTGAACCATTTGTGCGCGTCGATGAACCACCAGATGACCACCGCCAGCATCGGCGCGCCCCAGACCAGACACGTCCAGTTCATCAGATCGGGAGTCAGGTCGCTGCCGGTGACGCTGGGGAGACAAAGGATTGGGATCATGAGGAGGACGAACGCCACGCCCGCGCCCCCGATCCAGGGGCCGAAGGGACCCAGATGCCAGGGTCCCTTGCGAAACCGATTCCCTACAAAGAATACCCGGATGGCAATGGGAACAGCAAAGGCAAAGAACTGCGCGATGGCACCGATCGAGAACAGGGCTCCGATGGCCGTGGAACCGGCCAGCATTAGGAGACACATCAAAATCCCAAGAACCCCATTGAGGATGACCGCGTTGACGGGTGTCTGAGTGTGGGTGTTGACCTTCTTCCAGATGCCCGACAGAGGGAAGCAGTCATCTCGAGCGTAGGCGTAAGTGACTCGGGATGCGGCTACCATGCAACCCTGGCCCATGGAGAAGCCGCTGATTATGGTGAGAGCTAGAACAGCCAGCGCAATCTTCTGCGGAAGGACCTGCAACAGATAGGATGCCCATGGCTGTCCCAGATCAGAGTCCAGAACAGCGTTGATGTCGGTCACCGTGTAGGCGACCACGAGCTGCAGGAACCAGCCAAACACTCCCCCCACTCCAGAGGTCATGACAATCGCCCGCGGCGAGGCAATGTTGGCGTTGGAGCATTCCTCGCTGAGATGAAAGGGCGAGTCGTACCCAGACATCGTCCAGATAACACCAACAAAGGTCATGAGCACCGCGACTCCGTCGGGAAAGTCAGTCAGATTGGTAATAGTGCCCCAGACCTCCTTGGAGGGGGTGAATTTCGGCTCGTTCGTCGTCCCCGCGGGAATTGCGATGAGTGTCACGATCAGTGCGAGAATATTGAACGTTGAGCCCCAAGAATTAACTCGAGCAACCCACCGGGTGGGCATGCTGCTGATCCCGGTATGAATGATCATGATGAATGTGGTTAACAAGAAGGTTTGCCAATTGGTAGGCACGTAGTCGGGGTTTGTGATCGAGGCAGCCGCCAGGATCATGGCACTTAGGGCGTAGTCGACCGACGGTGCTGCGGTGATCTGCCCGATCCAGTTGGACCATCCGGTGATCCACGCAGCAAAAGGTCCATAGCCTGGTGGTGCAAGGACAGCCGCTGCATAGTATAGACCACCGCTGGTGATCAACGTTAGCTCGGATCTAAGGCTAGGCAGATATCAGTGGAGAGGCACCCACCTAGTGGGCATTGCGGAGCATAGCTCGGCCATAGACATCGCGACACACTGGATGAACAACATGGCGACAATCCACCCCCAGACCATACCGGCAGTTCCTGCATAGCCCATGCCTTCTACATGTTAGCCATTTCCTTCATAATGGCGACCCATCGGGGAGAAGGTGGAGATACCGTAGTATATTGTACTCGCGAACGAGGGGAGCAAGCCGAGTACCGAGAAGCTCACGCAGAAAGTGGTCCATAGCCCAAACTCGCGCTTGAATTCTTGCTTGTATCCGAGGGCCACGATCACTCTTTCATCCGCATCCATCGCATGATCGGTGTAAGGGAGGTCGCCCTCGGGCAAGATACTAGTGACGGGCGCATGATTGACATCCGCATATATCGGTGCCTTCAGAGCAGTTTTGATATTATGCTCAGAGACAGACATGGTGAAGACTTGCGAAATGCTCTGCTAGGCGTCCTAGTCAGACACCCCAGAGAAGAGGGGCAATGATAAGCAGGTTTCGGACGCGGCGTTATTCGTAGATAGTTTTGAGACAAAGAGCAAGCACTGCTAGACAGAAGAGTCACACAACAGCTGAGCCTTGTGAGACGCTCTTTTTCGAGCAAAACTGAGTGAGCTTGAGACCGATACATCGCGTTGAGGATGCACCGCAATATAAGATGGCCATCTTATCTATCGAGAGAACAGCTGTACCGCGTCAGGCGAAGGGTCCGACAGAGACGGCACCAATCAATCTTTATAGCGGGTGATACACATCTATCGACCCCATAGTATCATGGATGGATCTTAGAACTGCGACTAGCCGAGGCGGGGGGGGGGGAACCAGACGCTGATACGCTTGGCACCAGGTCATTCACCGATCTACTGGACAATCGGATTGGAGGGAATATCAAGGAGAAGAAGCTCGCACGCGGAAGCCGATGTCGAGATGCCCAAAGCCCGAATCACATCTGGTCAAATCGACCCCAACTGGAATTTAAACCAGTAATTCCCGAAACCTATTAACCTGACTTTACTAGGTAGGGAAACTTCGCGCGCTTCGGAAGAAGAAATTATCGTGCGACGATTCGTATTAGTGCTCGGACAACCGGCCAGAGGTTCGCAAGCTGTACTTATCGGAGGAGATGGTTGGCTGCAGGGCTGCAGATGATAAGGCTGTATGGAAAGGATGCTGCTGACTAGGTATGAGATGTGAGCCACAGAACAGCCAGAGATAAGAGGACTTGGCCAGGTTGGACCTACTTTAATGAGCATAGTCAGTTAACCTTGATAAACGATTCTCCTGACAAGACGCCATCTAAACGAAGCGGACCCACGATAGAGGAACGTCAGAGGTCCACTATCCTATCAAGCTTGAGAGGCTTGATGCTTCCTTACTGTCGTTTCTGCATTCGAATATGGCTGACTAGCTATGCGAGAACCATGGCACAAGACTTTGCTGTCTATGTCCGAGCACAAAGGCAAGGAAAATCGGTAGGGACGCAAGTGGGTGTTGTTGGATGGTGATATTCTCCGGCCGTGGCGGAGTGATAACTAAGTAGGTTTTAACCAGTCGGACTCTTACTTTATATGTGCACACAGAGCTGGCTAGACAACACAATCAACGCACCGAGAATCTATCACGCTCTTCTACCCTCCGTATATTTCTCTCGTTAAGAGGGTACACCTACGTTTTGATGTGGAGGGTATGCAACTAGCTCATAAATTGTCTCCTCATTCCCCTGCTGCTGCGGATACAAAGCAGATTGACCGGGCATCTGCAGCGCTTTGATATCAACATACTAGCTGCACAAAGAAGGCCTCCTCTGCGCATTGCCAGTGTCGTTGGCTCGACCCCAGCTCATGGTGGACCCGCATCAAGTGAGCTTCGTTGCTGGGTTGAGACGATTCGATACGTCAAAGCACTCGCCAGTGATGAGAGACCGGCTAAATGATTGAGTGCGTAGCCTGCAGAGACAGAACTAGACTACTGATCGAAGTGAACGAATGGCCTAAGATGCAAGACCTCTGTTGCCACACATGAAAGACCAGAACTGAAGCTACTTCTGTCATGAAAGCATATTGACACACACACACGGACAAAAAGTTAGGAAAACTGGAGAACAATTCGTCCAAGCAGGCATTCTCTAGTATGTGCTATTAAAAACTCATCGCTATTCTACACGTACAGCACCTCAAGTCTCTTTTGCTGTCCAGCTATGAAGCGGTATATCCGTACAGGGTGACCGGGTCTTGTGTATAATGGAAAAACAACATTTGTCTCGAGGTTAAGGACATAATTTAGAAGGGCTGCCTTGAGTGTTAGCATTCGTGCGGATGGCATGAAGTAGAATCCCACATACGTTGTCCTCGGGGGCGACGGTGCGGTCAAAGTACTCATCGAGGAAGGGGACCTTCTGGAGGATGTCACGGCGGACACGGGGGACCTCGCCGAAGAAGAACAGAAGGAAGACACCGGCGCTAACACCGAAGCCGCTGGCAATGGTACCACTGTTGTTTTGATCGTACGTTAGTCGACGCTATCGCAATGCTATTGCCGTTTCTGACACTTGCGCGAAGACGGCACGTTTGAACACAAGGCGGAAGACACTCACGCAGTGACAGCGGACCGGGTGGTAAGACCGTGCCAGTGGCGGGGAGTCGAGTACCTGATTCGAGTAAGTCTGTTAGCCGTAATCGCTCTCATGCACCTTTCGCTATTCCACTCTGTGTATGCAGCAGTTCGCCATGAGTCATCCCCCGCTCAGGCACAAGCGGAGCTCTGTATCGATCAGACGCCCTGTCATATCAATGACCGCTGAATGGAGCGAAGCGGAGCTTTGCAGGGCTGGCTCAGTGCCAGCGTTGATGCCTGCGCTGGGACGAAGGTAACGACGATTCTGGGGTATATCTCACTTGGGACCGAAGGGAGAACGGTAGCCACCGGCGTTCTGAGCCGCGGCGCGGCGAAGAGTCTGAGAGAAAACCTACTCAGACAACGATTCACATTAGCAATTGACAATTGCTATCCCTTTCCATAGTCTATCACCGTGACATAGCCGGGTCCGGGGTTGGCCACTACTCAACTGGATGCGACAACTTGAAGTCATGCGACTCTCAGATTGTCGGCCCAGTGAGGATTTATCGGCATGTACATACCATTTTGTTTGAGGTCGAAGGAGGCACACTCTGCTCCAGTGAACGATATGAGGCTGCAATTACACGTTGAAAGCTGTCGACGAAAACCGGGAGACTCCGCGACGTTCGTCCGACCGCCCGCGGCCAATCAGCCGCCCAAATTGCAAATCACGTGATAACACGCCTGTCGAATCAGATATCGCGCATTTCCACACCTCATGCCCCCTCGAAGTATAAGTATACAAGAACGTTGGGACTGTGTACAAGCTCGTTGTATGTGCCAGCAAGCTACTACTAGGTGAAGAAAAAGCGAGGGAGCGGAACTAGTCCCAGTATCATCAAGATTTGTAGCATAAAGGACACCAAAATAAAATTGAAGAAGAAAATTGGGTAATAGAAAAAGAATAAAAAAAGGTAACTGTACACCACCCCGATTCACAATTTAATCTACTTTGCCCGTGGAACCACCATTCAAGAGTCCTTCCTTGCCATCGAGGTTGAAGAAACCTCCGCTAGAGTTCCCGGCAACACCGAGAATACCGCCTCGACCTCCGCGTCTCGCCGCTCTGCCTCGAGCCACGAATGTGGCACCGACAATGGACAGGATCAAGATAATGACGAACAAAATCGGATGCCCGCTAATGAAAGAACGAGTGAAGAAGAAGATCGACTCAAAAGTGCCAACGGTAGACTTGGGTGTGAGCTTAGGGGGGTTGGCAACCACAAGAGGAATAGTTTCGAGAATCGAAGTGCGAGATGCCATAATGGATGCTCCGCTGGAGGACGTATCCCAGTAGCGTCGGTTCTAAGAGAAGGTCAGTCCAATGCACAACAAGTGGTCTTTGTACCGCCTGCAAGAAACTTACATCTTGGTCGTTGATAATGACACGCTCTCCGTTCTCCACATCGATTCCGAACTGAGTCCGTAGCCACCGCTCCCAGAAATCACCATCAACCCAAGCAAAACCGACCTGCTTCTTGTCGTCCTCGCGAATGGTGATACGCATGTTTTTAGCAGCCCGAAGCGCACGCTGGTCATTGCGGTCCTCCGCCTCTTCAATCCGCAATTGTTTAGCATCACGAAGTTCGGCGCGCTCCAGCTGGAACAGCTGAACCTGCTTGTCCATCCATTCATGAGCCGCATTCTTCAGCTCTCTCTTAGACTGCAGGAATTCATCCGAATGCTTGCGGCTTAGAATACCTAGTACAACGTATTTACCATCCATAATTTCACGAGCGTTGGATGCCGTAAGTTCGGGGACAATCGGAAGCCAAACAGACCGCATCCATCCCAGAATCTGCCGGAAGTCCCGCATATCCTTGGGAGCGAGTGCGTTGTAGTAACTTGGGCGACCGTCTCGAGACACCAGAAGACGAGGCCAGGTAGAAATCTTGAACCTTTCAGCGAGGGCGGCGCTGTTAGTCTTGACTAGTCTGGCATGTCCGACCAAGCTAAGAGTCAGACGCTCAAGAGCCTTGAAGTCCTCAGACGTCGTTGCGTGGTCGTAGAAATAAAGGAAGATGACGTCTTCTTTCTCTTCCAGTTCCTTGAAAGTGGTAGCGTCCACATCCTGCACGCCGGAGCCGATCTCCACGGCCTTGTTGGCATAATTGACCAGATCACCCAGACCACGCAGACCGTTGTACTCAACCCGTTCACCGCCACGGAAGAAATAAATAGTTGGGAATTGGTTGACTCGGGCGTCCTTGCAAAGCCGAGTCTCGACATCGCAGTTTACTTCGCCGACGTTGAGAGTACCCTGCATCTCTCTGGCCATTTCTTGCCAATTAGGAGCCAATGCCTGACAGTGACCGCACCAAGGAGCGTAGAACTTGATGAACCAAGGATCTTGCGTAGTAGTAACAAGCTTCTGGAAGCTTTCCGCCGTAAGAGGGACAGAAATGCCCTGAGGGTTCACTGGACCGGGTGGCTTAGCCTTGATCTGCGCGGCATCCTTGACAACAGGAGCATCACTAGCGGCAAGCTGCGCAGCCTGCTCATTATGCTTCTCTCCAGCCTTAGCGCCAGCTTCAGGGTCTTTGTCCTTAGCGACAGGGGCGTCGGGTTGAGCTTTGGTATCAACACTTGTGTCGCCCGGCTTAGGCAGGTTCAGGCCTTGTGCAGGCCGAGAGCCAGGTTTGATCTGTTCCAGCTTCTCTTCGACAAACTCGCTCAGCCCTTGCATACTCTTCTTTCCCGTGAATTGCTCAACCATCTCGCCATTGTGATACAAAGCGAAGGTGGGAAAGTATTTCACCTCCAACTTGCGGCACAGGTCCCCGTACACAAGACAATTTACCTCCGCGAAGTGGAAGTTGTAGAATTTATCGAAAGAATTCAGGGACTGGGTATCGGACGACTTTCCAGAGGACGAGGACAGAGGATCCGAGGTCTGAGAAGAATCAGAATACGCAGTAGGGGATGAAACTGCAGTGATGCGACTTACATAGTAGAACTCATAGAGTGTCTGCCAAGTTGGCGCAATCTTCTGACAGTGCGGACATGACGGAGAATACTCTTTGATAAACCTGAAAGGCCTGTTAGCCTGGAGCAGCCAATCTAACGTGGCGCATTGAAGAGTGTGCTGACCAGTAACCATTCTTAACAGTTTCGTCGAAATCATCAGGGGTCAAAGATTTGACAGGCGGAACCTCGATGCCATTGAAGAGAGTCGACTTGGGCTCGGTCGAGCCATCTCTCTTCGCGAGATGGTGCTTGGGAGAAGCATCATCGGCGGACGTAGCCCATGTCGGGATGGAAAGGAGGGAAAGGAATGACCATGCCAGCAAAGACGCCCTCATGCTGGCTGTAGGTCAAGGACAAGAAGCCTTTGAGGTCCTTGTTTGGAAAGAAGGGGATTTGGTAGTGAGAGTCAAGATAAAAGTTATCAGAAAACAAGTATTGGCCGTTCACAGGTGGCACATCGGAGTGGAAGTGACGGGTGGTCTAGAAACGAGTGGATCGCCAGGAGTCGGGGAACCACTCAGACAGGGGGCAATCAGCAATAATTCGGTGCTCCAAGAATATGCAGCAGATGTCCTCGCGGAGTACGTCGATAGGACGACAAGCCACCGAACGGAGAAGAGGACGCAGGCGAGAAGGAGGCCACCCCTATTATAAGATTACCATTAAACCAGACATCATTGAGATGATGGCCGGAGGAGGAGGAAGAGGCGCAGGAGGAAGGCTCGGGGTTAGGTTCCTCCGTGATCCGGGACGGAACCTCAACCCTTCGTGCAGCCATCCCGATTCAGTGTGCTCATCGTGAATGAACGACCCGATAAGTCACCCCGCTGCCGTTTGCCATTGGGCTTGATACCACACGCCCCTCTGGGTCTTTCTCATTCCTTTCACTACCTCACACACCCTCCGCCCAGCATGAGGTCGACACTCCGGTTGCTGGCTAATGTCAAGCCGGCTCGCTACTTGGAGCCTTTCGCTCCCACCGGCTTGACCGGCCTGAACACTCACCCTAGCCCTCGTCCCACCCTGATTTTCCTTTACACATCGACCTTGAACAAGCTCAAGTCCTTCCCTGAGTCCTCTGTCTACCGTCAATCCACCGAGGCATTGACTCGCCACCGTTTGCAGATCATTGAGTCCACGAAGCCGCCTGGATTTGAAGCTTGGTTGGAGCGCGTGAAGAAGACCGTGGGTGATGAGCCCGAGCGCTTCTCTAGCCTTCTACAAGCCAATGGCACGTACGCAGGTGCTGAGCGCCTTGATGGCAGCGACAATGCCCGAGGAGAGGAGTGGGATGGTGAAGCCTTGGAGGCGACCACTGAAGGCCCCGCTCGTACACCAGCAGAAGAAGCCCGTTTCACACAGCTCTTGGCGGAGGCTTCTTCTCCCAAGAACAATGAATCGGACTTCCACCCTGAGGAGCAGAAGTGGGAGGCTGAGCCCGCTCTGACGGCAGAACAGTATGCGGAGATTGCCCTCTCCAGAAGTGATTTATTGGGTGGCAGATGCTGATGCTATGGATACAGGATCTCTGAAATTGAGCAGCAAATCGGTGCCGGTCTTATTGAGGAAATCATTCAGGTCGCCGAGGGTGAACTGAAGGTTGTTGATGAGTTGTATAAGTCGAAAGCGTAAGTCGACTTCAACATGGCTTAACGATGGTCTGGAATGCAATACTGATATGATCACAGCTGGGAGGAACTTGAGGAGAAGGCTAGACCTGGCCAGTGGTCTTACTTCGAGCGCCCCGAGTAAGTGCTCGGCATAATAGGGTCTTCTCATGAACGACAGACTTGACTTAAGAATTCCCATTGTTTGTAATTATAAGTTTACGTGTGTCCAATCGAAACCAATCACAATTGCATGATGATGTATAAGTTGTTGTATGAGCTAAGGTTCCCCGTGGATTGTGTCTGGATTGCTGATAACCGCTGGTTGAAGGGGCTTATCATGCTGAATGTCCAGGACAATGATCAGTAGGGTTTGATGTTAGGCAGGATCTGCTATGGCACATGGAACTGTGATGACAGCGTCCAAATCGAATTAGTTAAATTCTACATTCGCATTTTTCAAAGTAGTAGACATAAGACTGGCCCCCGGCCACCCACGAGGGGGGATGATCCAGAACCAAAGGCGGTGAGTCTCCCCCTGTCGCTAGCCGATTCCAGATAGCTGGCGGGATTCCCATCTCCTTGTGGACACATCGCTGTCACTTCTTGAGTATCTGCATTGACCTCGGAGGCCATTCAGGCTGAGGACTTTTTTTCTTCTCTTTGCGCTTTTCGCATATTTTCCCTTCGGGAGTTCTTGACGTCCCCGGGCTGGGCTGTTTGAGCGGCTCGTGGCCTGGTTTCCCCTCCTTCTCACAGTCCGTCCTCCGACGCCGCACATAATCGCGACCTTCATTCCCCACACAAGATGAAATTGGATGTTAAGGTATGGATGTCGACCCTCGAGGAGATGCAGGCTTGGCCTCAGGAGAGCTAGCATATGTTTGGTGTCGGAGTCTACGAACAATGTTCAATCCGCTGACTGTTGTTGTTGTTCCTGAATAGAGACAGCTGTTCGCCCGCTCCGAGCGGGTGAAGGGCATTGACTTCCATCCAACAGAGCCATGGGTGAGTATTCTAAACATGAGTAACTGTGGGCAGACGCTGACATTTCCCAGATTCTTACCACACTATACAGCGGTGCGTTGGAGAATAGCATGTCGACCATCGCTGCGAATGCGCTAATACGATTACACAGGTCACGTTTACATCTGGTCCTATGAGACTCAAGTAAGTTGCCATACCGTTACATCACGTACGTTAAGATCGCTAAATGTACATCTCGTCAGTCAATCATCAAAACCTTCGAGCTTACCGATGTACCTGTACGAGCCGGTCGGTTCATTGCCCGCAAGAACTGGATTGTCTGCGGTTCAGATGACTTCCAGCTCCGCGTTTACAACTACAACACCTCCGAGAAGATAGCTTCGTTCGAGGCCCACCCGGACTACATTCGCTCAATTGCAGTACACCCCACGCAACCATTCGTTCTGACCGCATCCGATGACATGACAATCAAGCTCTGGGACTGGGAGAAAGGCTGGAAGTGTGTCCAGGTTTACGAGGGCCACAGCCACTATGTGATGGGTCTCTCAATCAATCCCAAGGATACCAACACATTCGCATCCGCATGCTTGGACAGGACCGTCAAGATCTGGAGCCTTGGCTCACCACATGCCAATTTCACCCTGGAGGCCCATGAAACCAAGGGTGTGAACCATGTCGATTACTACCCGCAGGCGGACAAACCATATCTTCTCACCACCTCCGATGACCGGACTGTTAAGGTGTGGGACTACACTACGAAAGCGCTCATTGCTACTTTGGAGGGACATACAAGCAACGTTTCTTTCGCATGCTATCACCCGGAACTGCCCGTCATTATCTCCGGCTCTGAAGACGGAACCATCAAGATTTGGCATGCAAACACATACAGACTCGAACAGTCCTTAAGCTACGGGCTGGAGAGAGCGTGGTGTGTCTCTTACCAGCGAGGTCGGCAAGGCGTTGCGATTGGTTTCGACGATGGTGCAGTAGTCGTGAAGATGGGACGGGAAGAGCCAGCTGTTTCCATGGACGGTTCAGGAAAGATTATCTGGGCCAGACATAATGAAGTTGTCTCGACAGTGATTAAGGGTGGCGATGCTAGTATTAAGGATGGTGCACCGCTTTCGCTGCCTACGAAAGAGCTGGGATCGTGCGAGGTTTACCCTCAGACCCTGTCCCACTCCCCCAACGGACGTTTCGTGTCGGTCTGCGGTGATGGCGAGTACATCATCTACACTGCTCTTGCGTGGCGCAACAAGGCATTCGGGCAAGCCTTGGACTTCGCTTGGGGCTCGAAGGACAACAGCAATGACTATGCCATCCGCGAGTCGACCACTAGTGTCAAGATCTTCAAGAACTTCAAGGAAGTCAGCGGCGGGCTTGATGTAGGCTTCCAAGCTGAAGGTCTCACAGACGGTGTGTTGCTGGGTGTTAAAGGTCAAGGCGGAATTGGTATGTTTGACTGGGAGACTGGAAACCTGGTCCGCCGCATTGAAGTTGACCCCAAGGCTGTGAGTAGCAGGAACTGAAATTACCCCTTGGATTGTCGCTAACAATTCACTTAGGTATACTGGTCCGAGTCCGGAGAGTTGGTGACTCTTGCCTGTGAGGATTCTTTCTATGTCCTCCGATACTCCCGGGAGAACTATATCGAGGGCTTGAACGCCGGTGAAGCCGACGAAGATGGCGTGGAGTCCGCTTTTGAGGTTGTCACTGATGTTAACGAGTCTGTTCGCACGGGTCAGTGGGTTGGAGACTGCTTCATCTACACGAACTCGACGAATCGCCTCAACTACCTGGTTGGCGACCAAACCTACACCATCTCCCACTTCGACCAGGGCATGTATGTCCTTGGCTATCTGCCTCGTGACGGCCGCGTCTACCTTGCCGACAAGGATGTCAACGTCGTATCGTTCGGCTTGTCTCTCAGCATGGTCGAGTACCAGACGGTGGTGTTGCGCGGCGACCTGGAGACGGCAGCGGAGCTACTCCAGGACGTTCCCCAGGATCAGATGAACAAGGTGGCCCGCTTCCTGGAAGGCCAGGGGTACAAGGAGATGGCACTCGAGGTTGCCACCGACCCGGAACACCGCTTCGAGCTGGCCCTTGCCCTGAACAACCTCGAGATCGCCCTCGAGATCGCCCGCAAAGCCAACGTCGAGCACAAGTGGAAGATCGTCGGAGACGCCGCCCTCGCGGGCTGGAACCTGGCGCTGGCCCAAGAATGCTTCACTAATGCCAAGGACGTGGGCTCCCTTCTCCTGCTGCACACCGCCAGCGGCAGCAAGGACGGGCTCCGCCAGCTGGCCGCCCAGGCCTCGGAAGCCGGCCTGCACAACGTCGCCTTCTCCACCTACTGGTCCCTCGGCGACGTCGACGGCTGCATCGACCTCCTGGTGCGGACGAACCGTCTCGCCGAATCCGTCCTCTTCGCCCAGACCTACAAGCCCTCGCGGGCCCCCGCCCTCGTCGCCCAGTGGAAGGCCTCCCTGGAGTCCATGGGAAAGACCAAGATTGCCCGCCTTATCGGTATCCCCCCCGGCACTCCCGACGCCGCCGCAGATGATGACCTCTTCCCCGAATGGGACGAGTACATCCGCCTCGAAACCGAGGGCGGCGCCGCTGCTCCCGCCGTCTCGGAGCCTCCCTCATCTGAGTCCCTGATCGACGTCCACGGCGACGATGAGACCGCAGACAACGGTGCCCCCGAAGTACAACCTGAGGCGGATGACGCGGAGGTCGTTGCCGAGGATGAAGCCGAAGAGGATGAGGAGGACGAGGAGGACGAGGAGCAAGAGAAATCCGAGTAAAAAACCCCACTTTTACCGACCATCCCGCTTAAGATAGACCCTTTTTGTTTGTGTTGTTGTTTTTTGTGGCATGGTATGTGTGTATGCTTGTGCTTGTATTTAACTCAAGGAGGACTGTGCCGTAGGATGAGACCTATGCGACGAAAAGAAAGCTTCCACAACGCCCTCTTCTTCTGTTTCTGGCATCTGGTTTCACACTTCCCCTTCCATTCTTCTTTTTATTCCCCGTTTCAAATGTATTGTCAAACAGCTAAATCTTGCTTGCGTGGGATATTCCCCCCCGCTTCCACTATTCTCTTTTCTGATCCAATTTCCCCTTACATAGCTATTTGTTTTTCAGACCTGTTCGCTATGAATCAATACTATGTCTCACTTGTGCTCCTCCCATAGAAGTATGGTGTATAGTCTTCTCATGATGTTGCTTTCCGCCTGTCTCAACTGTCAATCAGGCCAAACATCCGTATGTTGAAGTTCATGGTCTACCCAGTATCTATGTGCTGCTTACGGCCGCAAGACCAATCACATCTATGCATTCAGAACATACGCATTGGGTCATACTGTCACAGGCAGAAAAAGAAACGTCAATTGTTGTCTATGAGCCAGTCACATCGCGGGAACAAAGTAGGAGAAGTTTATTTTCCGTAGTTCTTTCTTTCTCCCCGTCCCTCCATTCCACGTAATCAGACCGAAAAGCAACAGCAGGAAAGGTATCGAGCTATAGGGAAAATAGAAAACAAGATGTCTAGGTCGAGACCGCTGACACAGGAACTCATGCAGTTTTTGATGTTCAGTGGGCAAAAATTGAGCTCGAAAATCCCCGATGGACACCAGTTCCTCCGGAAGGAGACAGAAAAGAAGCCTCGACAAGGTTCGATTGGATCAGGCCAGCAGACCAAAGTCAAAAGCATCAAAGGGTAGATAGACCGAGACCAAGATGAATATCGGGGATCTGTTGAAGTCAGGTTTGTTGGCGCGGACGAGAGAGGAGCGATGGCGTGTCGCTGCTTCTGCCGCTTGAGCGTCTCCAGTAAAAGATACCTGGCGGCCCAACACTTCACTGAAGTAGACGAACCCGAGACAAGAGTGAACAGACACGGTCGTGATGACTGAAGGGAAAGACAGGAATTGAGAAATGGACCAAAGGGACCTGCCTCGATTGTATTGGATGCAAAACCATGTAGGTTAAAAAAAAACACACAAAGCGCTCAACTAGGATCACTGCCATGGAGGAGAAAAGCAAAAGTCTCGACAAAAAAGCCTCACGTACTCCCTGTGCTAGTGAGGGGATAAGAGAAAGACAGCGAAAATGATGAGAGAAACCCGAGCTACATCGCAGGTAGGATATGCGGATGGAAAGGGAACAGATTGAAGAAATTGTTTCAAACAATTCCTTCTCCGTGTTTTGGTGTCACATTGTGTTCGTGTTGAGTCCACCTCAAGAACGTTCAGTCGATGGTGGCAGGCAACAAG